CTCTTATTGTCTGCCCACTCTTTCTTTCTATGAAGGAACTGTCTCCCTCCCATCTCATTAGGTTCTTGTGAGACTGTTAATCACAGTGTATGCGCTGTCTGCAGGACCAGTGTGTGACTCAGGCCTGACCAATAATGGGCCAACTTCGCATCCATGGTGATTAGACATGGTCTGAATACAAGCAACCAAAGTATTCTCATGAGATTGAAAATCTCACGGATGCAGGGAGTCTGTCATCCGTTTGAATCATGAGCTAAAACAATGTGGGTATGGAATTTTTTCCTTGGCCACACTCCCTGGGATAGGGAAAGAGTGTACATAACAGTGGGAGAGAATGAGGCCAATATAGAGAGAAAAGCAGAGACAGGATGAAGCAAGAGTTGGCGGGGTTGATGGCAGGGAGGAAGAGAGAGAGGGGCAATGACAATATTTGAGCCCTTGGGTTTAGCGGTACCTAAAGTTACCTTGGAAGTTTTGTGAAACAATATATTCATTTATTTCCCCTTAAGCTAGTTAGAACTGGGTTTCCTCTCGGTTGCAACTAAAAGAGTCATAAAAACTGGGTATAAAAATCTTGAATTGCAACTTTTGCCCCTCAAAATTCTATATACTCTGCTTAATTTCCTTCTAACATTTAATAATGCAAAAGAGTGGAATTCCTGGTGGTCCAGTGGTTAGGATTCTGAGCTTCCAGTGCCAGGGGCTGGGGTTCCATCCCTGGTTGGGGAACTAAGATCCTTCAAGCCATGTGGCACGGCCAAAATAATAATAATAATAATAATAATATGAAGGAGAAGTTTGTGATCAGCCTGACTTCCCTCCCTTTATTATGCAATTCATTATTCCTGTCTGGATGCTTGAAGAGTTTTTTCTTTATATATATTTTCCCTCTGAAACATTATGGGCTCCTTACACCTGCATAATTGAGGCTTTTTCCAATTTGTGATTTTTTTTCAACTGTGTCTTTGATTATAATTTCTATTCCACTTGCTTTGGTTTCTTTCGCCTATAATTCCTAGGTTGGATGTTTATACGTTGGGGATGGTGGGAAATAACAATATTCTGACAGCCTCCAAAAGCAGCAGCTGGTCAGTAAAGGTCAGCTATCCAGTTTCTGGGTTGGGACAGGTCTTGCATTCTTATTCCAGGGAGCCAGAACGTTTGGGAGAATTGAACGGACTTTGTACCTTTTTTTCAGATGGGTAGTCTTTCTGTTAAGGCAGCATAACACAAGGATTTACCACCTGCACTCTTCAGCACAGTTCCATCAGTATGGTGGTTAATGAAAGTGTTCGTGTTTAATTCCCCCCCTCCCTTCTGATTCATGCTTATTTTAAGGGAAATTTTAGAGAGACTGTCAGATGCCATTTAAAGTTGAAAGTCTTTTCTGTTAACTTAAGAGCCAGTTTCTATCATGTACTTTGTGTTTTCAGCATTTACTTAATTAATTAATTCAATTCTCAAACCAGCATTATTGAGCAAATTTTATATGGCAGACCCTGTGGTTGGCTAGGCGATAAAATCGAATAAGTTGCTATTCTAATTCTTAAGGACCTAGCAATCTAGTGGACAGATAGATGTACAAAACAACCAACTACAAAGGACTGGTAAGCCTATGATGTACACAGTGCTCTGGGAGCAAATTGGGAGGTGACAGACAATTGTATCCAGCTTTGTAGAATCAGTAGGAGCTTACCAAATAAATGGAAAAGAAGCATTGCTGTATTATTCTACTATCATTGACCTGTGTCCTTTGAATGGGATGTGATGGGGGCTCTGCCTGTATATGGATATTTCTTTTCAAAATTTCACTCCACTGCCTTTAAATTTCACAAGCAGTTTCTTACAACTGACCGATCTGCATGCCACACACAGTATATGGGATGAGACGGGCAGCTTTGCCTCTCTCCTTGTCAGTTTAATTTCGCTTTTTCTCTACCCACTGGGTATGGAGATGCTGGGTTCTTACACATTTTAATTGCTTATCTATTGCAAAATATATTTACGTAATTTTGAAGGAAAGCAGTGATTTATATTAGCAGAGAATGGGAGAGTTTAAAGGGGTAATCTAGTCTAACCTCCTCATTTCAAGTTCCATTTTCTAGTTGTTAAGGTCATACAGCTAAGTAGGACCAGAGCAGGAATTACAATCGCGATGATGAAGATTGCACAGCACTGGCAATTTTCACAAACATTGTTGCATTTAATGTTCACAAAGATCCTCTGAGCCTTGTATTATTATTATACCCCATTTACCAGGGAGGAAATTAAACTTAGCAATACCAAGGTATTTGTTTTAAAATGTTGTATTAAATCTCTGGACTTTCAGTCTAGTACTTTCTTTGTTACTCAGTGAAACCTCATTGGTTTTCGTTTGTTTAATTGAATTCTAATTAAAAATACTTTTCAAACTAGGATCTAGGATTATCTTTTTTTCTTTTTGTGTTTTTTTTCTTTTAGGATTATCTTTTAAAAAAATAATAAAATGCATAAATGGTATCTAGCCCAATATCTGATTTCCTATATTTCTTATAGTCCATATCACAGGTAATATTTCCCATACTCCTTGATATTATACTGTTTTGTATTATTGTCTAGTTTGTATTTATATGATTTGTGTTATCTGAGCAAAAAGCCTCTTCCCTGTTCAAAATCTAGTAATTTTCTATTACACCCCCTCTTTGTGACTTCTTTTAAGTTCACCAACTGTCAGCTCTTTCCCGCCTCTCCATGGCAGATTGCCAGATTGTATAAATCATGCCTTTGGCTGTTCTTGTCAACAACTGAAGCAGAATTTTTGCAAAAATCTTGTAAACAGTGTGTTGCAATGTTAGTGGCTTCTGCTACTAATGCCTCCCTTTTCTTTCTTTTAATATGAGGCTCGGTCCCCTTGTTTTATGAAGTGGACCATTTCATCTTTCTTCCACGTGCAGCTAGCTAGGCTTTTCTCATGGATTTAGTAGAAGCTGATCTTGAAATTTTCACAAAGGTGCTTCTTCCCTTGCTCCTTTAGTTTCCATTAGGATCCCTAATGGGAGTGATGTTGAACACCCATCATCTCAAAGAGTTCTATTTTCGAATCCTGACCCTGCCACTTTCTGGTTGAGTCATCTGGGGCAAACTTTTCCAACCTCGTCTGTAAAACAGGATCACATCACACATACCTAATGGCAGAATTGAGAAGATGGAATTACCATTGTGTTTTTCAGCCACACCACATGGCATGTGGGATCTTAGTTCCCTGACCAGGGATCAAACCCACGCCCCCTGCATTGGAAGCACAGAGTCTTAACCACTGGACTGCCAGGGAAGTCCCAAGAAGATGGAATTAGATGAGAATAGTGCCAGATACATAATGTTTACTAAAAAGAATGTTGATTGCCACTTTTATTATTCTTGTAAATAATTCTTTCTTTGGTTGAAGTTTCTCTTTGTTGTCAAGCTAACCATTCAGTCATATATCACAAACTCACCACTGCCTTCTCTCTTTTGAAACATTGTAAGTCAGTTGTTTTGTTTTTGCCTAAACTCTATTTCTTGAGCATCTTGACCCAACTCTCTTTTTAATTATTTTGCTTCATTCTTTTCCTATGAGTTTTAGGGCCTACTACTTTCTGGCATCTTTAGATTGGAGCAAATGGTCCCTTTGAGTCATTCCTCTGACATTTTTAGCCACTTTATATTCTCTCAGTAGTTTGCTAACTCCACATATAATCTGATACACCAGTTCCCAAGAAGTCAGTTTTAAGATAGTGGAAAAATTGGTATCTATCACTTTACAGTGATTTGCTCTGGTAGTTCTATTGGCTCGTTTCCTGTTTCCCCCCCAAGCTTTTAGAAAATGCATTCACATAAATATTCTTCAAATCTGTATTATTCATATTAATTTCATAGGCTGTGATTGATTATTTCCAATCCTGTCCCTTTTAGTTGAAGGGCAGTCAAGATCCTCTTCCAATTCTAATGCTTCTTTTTATATTCAGGAAACTCACCATTTAACAGATATAACAACAACCATAAATGCTAGGATACAGGGACACAGAGGGATAAAAAACATGGTCCATCCTTCAAGGAACCCATAATAAGTAAGTTGTCCCTTCCTTATTTCTTTAAAAGACATTCATATCGTTTTATTTTCATAATCGTTAAACTTGGTTTCTGACATAAATGAGTATCTAGTCCTACACCCTTGGAAAAATTCTTACCATCAGGACTATCCTAAGGCTTATATTAAGGTGAAAAAAATATTAGATGGTTCCCAAAAGAAGTGGTTTGTGGTTTGTGTATAATTTGCTTAGTATTTGCATATGCCTATTTTGAAAAGACCTAGTGTTTCAAGTTAAAACACTAAGGCTATAAATGAGAGCAGATTTCTTGCTTCATGTTTGGCTGCCATAATTGATACCGATTCCAGAAACGTATAGCCAGAAGTGAGTCAACAGTTAAATGGAACAGAGAAGAGGAAAAAAAAAAAAGTCTCAAGAAATCTTCTAAGACAGTAATAGCCCCCATCTGGAATTTTCCTCTCCTCTGTAAGAGCTTTTGCAGTTAGAGTGCAGTGTGGCTGGATGGAGCTCTGGTTTGCATGCTGCCGGCTGAGGGTTACTCCAAGTCCACCCCGTGCTCAGCTATTTCCCTTACTGGCCTTTGAGTTAGAGCATGGAAGACCCCCTATCAAAATAGAAATGTTTAGACACAGAATTTTATTGCTGAAAGGGATCTTACAGATCATTATACCACAGAGATTCCCAAGCCTTTTCAAGTGTGAGAACCCCTTTTCAATCTCAACGTTTTTTGGATTCCCATTTAGTAGGACTTGAACTTGTAGTATGCATGGACTGAGAAGGTATATAATGACAATATGCCTCTATGAGTTCAATTTGCATGAATTTAAACTTCGTTAATCAGAACAGCAATTACATATACTTGAAACAAATAGCTATACCTGTATGAGTGAGACATATCACTTATTTCATCTATAGCCTACTAGGTATACGCATGGATTTGGAGATCCCATGAATTTGGAGGGCCCTGGGGACCTGCACCTTGGAAACCATTGATCTAATCCAGTCTCCTGTTTTAACAGATGAAGGTAAATGTGGTTTGTGGAAATTAAGTGACTTTCTAAGGATACAGCTAGTTAGTGGCAGAGTCCAGTTCATTGACACCTTTTCCACTGTGCCTCAGCTGTCTTAAACTTATCTGAAATTATTATTCATCCAGATCAGCAGAGAGAGGTACTGTAAATGAACTAGCTCAGAGGAAACTATGATTGTGTACCACACACAGGAAAACATGCTCCTGTATATAACAATAACAAAACAGATCAATTAGATTAATTAATTAGTTTGTATATAGAATTAAGTAGATTGTATGTAGTTAATTAGATTGTATATAGAATTCTTACATAACTTGTCTCACTTGACAATTACATATTTCTTGAGGATTGCAAGGAAGTAGAGACCTGTGTTAGGTACTTTATAAACTGTGGAGTGAATATGAAAAATGTTGACTTTCTGGCCACAAATAATAACCCCTCTCAAAAAAAAATGCAGAGGAAGAATTAAAAACCTTAAATATTATGGGTTTTTGGCAATGAACGGGCACAAAAGTCAGCAAGAATGGACATCCCCAACTTCTGCCAAGTCAGGAGGAGCAGTTCTGGCTGCTGAGTTGAGAAGAGAAATGAGAAAAATCACCAGCCAAATAATACATTCTAATACTGGCAGACACAGGAGGGGGAGTGTGTCAGAGATATTAAAAAGCCATTCAGTGTGAGAATGATGCGATTCAGCTGGGGAAAGAAGAAAAGAACAATTGATATTTCCTGGATATTTATTAATGTTTAGATACAAGAGGTTGTATTGAGAGTCGCCAAGTCTTCAGCCTGTTTTCTCTGAGTGCTTGATACGGCGTGAAAGAGGCTGAACAGAGTGCGGTTCAGATCCGTGCTCTCCCTGGGTGACCCATTTCTGCCAGTACTGCACTGGGTTAGAAAACTTCAGGGGTTTCCTAGACTAGCTTTAGGTCTCTTTTGATCTGGATGACCCTTGGGAGTCTGAGTTGATTTTGATTCCTGTGAAAATTTGGGTCATTTGGGGGTAGATCTTGCCTGGTCCAATCATATCTTTTGTGTGGATATGGTAATAATGAGGGTCCATTCAGTTAGATCCAATAGCGTCTCAAGAAGGTCAAGGCTACTTATCTAGTTATGCTGTGTATCTGTTTTCCATAGATAGAGGATCTATTTCATGAGCAAAGTTTGCCATCTTCATTCCAACCAAATGATCTGAAACTATGAGCTGCAAAAGGAATCTTAAGGGAAGATAGGGCTGAACTTGAGCAAATCCATTCTCACCACCGGAAGCTGTAACTCCACCTGCATAGTCTCTGGGGGACAGCCCATCTGACTGAGTCTTAGAGAAACAGAGTAGATATAAGTGGTATTGACAGAAAAGTTGTACAAACAGATCGTGATTAATTCTGTAGTCCTTACAGCTGAATATAACAAAACTGGGGTCCAGGGACTGTTGCTTTGCCTCCATGTTCTCTACCCGCTTGTTCCCGAGACTCTAGGTGTCAGAGGGAGGGAATGGCGTTTGCCATAGAGCAGAACCCTTCCTCTTCTGAGTAACTCGCCTGTTAGAGCTGCAGTGCTGGCAGCGGTCCTGAGAAGGGCTCTGCAACGTGGGCTGGTTAGCAGGAGCATTTTCACTGCAGGCAGGTTCCGTTGCCTTGGTGAAGTCCCCACGCATCTGAAGAGTGGCTCATCTGTTTCCGGCTGGGGATCGCTTGTGCTCACCCAGGCACCCATGAGAAACCTGGGAGACTGGTGAGCAGGTGCTGGCTGAACCGGGAACCTTTAAGAATCAGCCAACAAAATAGATAATTTTACTCAGTACAATTCCAGGAGGACTAAGTTTTGGAGGAAATGCTGTCAGAGAAGCGTTTTCAGTGTCAGGGGCCTAGGGCAGGAATGGTGAGTGGAGAAGGAAGAGGGAAGAGGAAGAACAGAACGAAGAAGTGAGGGGGTGAGTTGGGGGGTGAACGGGCTGAGAGATTCTTAGCACTCGGGTGGAGAGAGTTGTCTAAGAAAGATTTTAAGGATGTAGCCTTTATGCTATGCTTGTAAAACCTCTCACCCTGCTGCTTCCTGAAAATCACAGTAAACATCTACATTGTGCTCTTTCCAGTGTGGGCGTCAGGACCCACCTTTGGCTATTGAGCCGTTGAAGTGTGGCTGGTCCGAACTGAGATGCGCAGCAAGTGTAACATACGCACTGGATTTTTGGCGACTTAGTGTAGAAAAAAGAATGTAAAATATCTATTGCATTGATAATTTTTTACATTGAATACTTGTTGAAACGATAATATTTTAATATATTGGATTAAAGTATATCATTAACGTTAATTTTACCTGTTTCTTTAAAAAAATGTGTCTATTAGAACGCTTAAAACATAATGTGACTGATGTTATATTTCTACTGGATAGCACTAATCTAAATGATTCTTCAAAGCTACTGGAGTTAGATTTGTGTTTATTTTGGGTTGGTATTGGTGGTGCTACAGGGTTGTACAAGCAGACACTCACACCCTTGTCTGTTGATGGCCAAAATGGAAGGGAGGGTTAGACTTGATAAATCTCAGGCTCCAAAAGGAGCATTGGTCAGCAGGCTCTGGTAAGTACATCTGTGTGCCGAGACCTGCAGACATTTGGAAAGATTCAGAGTCAGAGAAATACCTGGGAGAAATGGGGCCTGACTTAAATATATCGAAAGGAGACCAAGTTTTCCTACAAGAACAGAACTGGTATTAACAGAGAAACCTCAGAGGGCAAAGATGGGAAACAGCGGGGATGGGAGAGAAGGTGCAGCCTTCTCTGCGAGTGTGTCATGGCTCAGTAAGACGGGAATAAAGACACAGACCTACTAGAGAATGGACTTGAGGACACGGGGAGGGGGAAGGATAAGCTGGGACAAAGTGAGAAAGTGGCATGGACATATATACACTACCAAATATAAAATAGATAGCTAGTGGGAAGCAGCCGCATAGCACAGGGAGATCAGCTTGGTGCTTTGTGACCACCTAGAGGGGTGGGATAGGGAGGGTGGGAGGGAGATGCAAGTGGAAGGAGATATGGGAACATATGTATACATATAGCTGATTGATTCACTTTGTTATAAAGCAGAAACTAACACACCATTGTAAAGCAATTATACTCCAATAAAGATGTTTGAAAAAAAAAACAAAAACAAGAATGCCTGATGCCTGGGAGGGAGGAGAAAGAGGAAAAGAAGAAAGGACGGAGGGGGAGAGAGGAGAAGGAAGGAAATAGAACTGAATTGAGAAAAATAGCCACGCAAGGCTAGACGTGGTTCATGTGGTCCCCGATAGATCTTGTGAGTTTGAAACAGCTTGAGAAATGACCACTCCACGGAGCAGAAATCCTCTGTAAAACCCCCACAAGTAAAGAAAAAACAGGTTTCCTGAATGTTCAGTAGCAGCAGTCATGAATCTATTTATTTGAGAAACGGCTTTGAAGCTGCCCCAATTCTTTGTTAAGACAAGACTGGGGAGAAAGGAGTATTTGCATAAGTGATGAGGTGAAAGGGCTGCTGGCGTCCTCAAAGTTGAATGCGTCCCAGGGATACATCCTTTAGCGCCCTCCATAGGAGGCCAGGGAGTCCCTGGCTGCATCCCTGGCACAGTGTTATTCTGTAGCGGTGTGTATATATCTCGCTCAACTATTTGGAGCGCGACTGGGCCCTTCAAGTAACCAGAATAACACCCTTCATTTCACTTTACGGCCAGCAAAGACACTCATTCCAAAGAGTTAGTAGAAACATGTAAAACCCTTCAGTGGAGTACCGCCTCTGCTCTGGGTCTGAACAAGTTCAGTCCAATTTCTCACCCCATAACTCCTGTGTCTATGGAGCCAGGCAGTTAAAATGAATGACCGGAGGCGCTGCAAGGGTCTGAAGTGCCTCACAAATCATCAAAGAAAGACTAAATTATGTCCTGAACTTACCAAAGCCAAAAAGTGAACTAATAATATATTTTAGAAACAGTTGCTCCAAGAGCTGAAACTGAAAACATGGTGATGTTTAACTCCAATTTAATGAGAACATCCAAGTAATTAAAAGGCCCCACTCTTAAAGCTTTCTGGTTGATTGAAGGTGCTTTGCATATTGGAAACAGGTATGAAAAGCTTTTATGTGTTAAGGGTTCTCTGAGGCAAAATTGTTAGCACTACCCACCTGGTGGACCACCTGCATCGGTTTAGCTAGAACTAGTTAGAAATGCAAATTCTCAGGGCCCACCCCAAAATCTGCATGTTGTCAACATCTTTAGGGGATTCTAGGCACGCTGAAGTTTGAGAATCATGGGCCTAGGGCCCTAGTGTGTCTCTTGAAAAGGAAGGAACACCCTTTCCTTGAACAGGGCCTCTGGGGACCACAGGTAATCTTTATTTTATGTTCTAGGCACTGGGCTAAGAACTTTACACAACTTACCTCATTTTAATCCTTCAGCAGTTCTAAGGAGGCAGTATTAGAATTAATGCCACTTTACAGATAAGGAAACTGAGATATAAAATCATTAAGCAATTTGCCCAAACCCACATGCCCTAAGTAGGAGAACCGGGATTTACATCTAGGCTGCCACTCTTTGGCAGGATGTGATTCAGTCTTTTTCACTTGGGTTTTTTTTTTTTTTTTTTTTTTGGGGGTACGCGGGCCTCTCACTGTTGTGGCCTCTCCCGTTGTGGAGCACAGGCTCCGGACGCGCAGGCTCAGCGGCCATGGCTCACGGGCCCAGCTGCTCCGCGGCATGTGGGATCCTCCCGGACCAGGGCACGAACCCGCATCCCCTGCATCGGCAGGCGGATCCCCAACCACTGCGCCATCAGGGAAGCCCTTCACTTGGGTTTTGAGCCATCTACGAGATGGGCAGATAGGGAGTTCTGTGGGTCCTACCCACATGGGTTTGCTTTGTCCTTTCCAAAAAGCCTGGGATTTCCTGCTTAAAAGTCCCACAGAATCTAGGTGGTGGAGTGACTTCCCCAGATCACATCGTTAATGGCATAATCCTGGCTGGAGTGCAGGCTCTCTGACCTTTCATCTCATATGTTACAATAAAAAAAAAATACCAAAAAGCAAAACTGAGACCATAAAATTGAACTGAAATACCGTCTTTTAGGAATAATGTCTGTTAAATTTGGAGGTTTACTCTTATATGACTCAAGATAGCTCAAGGAAAGGGGACTTATTTAAAAGTGGGGGTGTAGGGAGTCAGTGACACCCCTCCTTTCACCCATCGCAGTCTCGTGAAGCACACGTTCTGTTTCTCTGTTCTCTTCTTCTCCCTTCTGCAGGCAAGGCTGTCTCCACTACTCCTCTGCTTATGGGTGAATGAAAATGGCCACCCCAGCCCTGATTGGACAACATCCTTCATTTCACACGCCAGCAATCATGTGAGCATGGTTTTGTGTCTCTTATTTCTAATTCTCCAGTCAGAGAATTCTAGGCTATTCACTGATCTCTCATATTAATCAGCCAAGTCAAGTTGTTATTAAAACAAAGGCAAGAAGGCTACCCCTTTCAGTAGGGGCATGGGGGTAATTCCAAATAATGGATTATAGAGTAGGCAACCCTGCCCAAATGTTCTACTACATTTTTTAAAAAAATAAGATCATACCTCTTGTAGCTTTTTTTTTTTTTTACTATTTTGCCAAAATACTTCCCTGCCTATAAATAATATCATACCTCCTCAGTTTTTGTGATGGTGATACAATCAGCATATCTATTGTATGGCTCTGCCTCGGTTTGCTCAACCAGCTTCTGTTGGTGGGTTTTCTTTCCTCCAGGTATTAGCCAATATTGTCAATGTTGTAATGAACAACTTTGTCATAAATCTTTGTGCCCAGTCTTAGTTCTTTTTTTAGGATAAATTCTTAAAAGGCAAAACTGTTATGTGAAGAAGTGTGGCCATTTTTAAGGCTTTAGAAATACATACCCCAATTACCTTCTGGAAAAGCTGTCCCAGTTCAGACTCCTACCAGCAAGGGAGTAAACCTTCCCACAACCTCACCAGCACTGGGGATTATTCTTTTTTATCTTTGCCAATTTTATAGGTAAAAATTGAGCTCATTGTTCTTTTAATTTGTGTTCTGGCTGAGGTGGAACAATTTTTTCACATGTTCACTGGCCTTTTGTATTTCTGGTTTTGCAACATATGTCTTTTGAAAACCTCAGCTGCGCTTTACACAGGAAAAAGATTTTGGCAGTTGTCATTAAATGTCTGCTTGTTCCTTATTCTAGTGGCGTCCTTTAGTTGATTACCCCAACCTGAAGGTAAACCAGCATTGCATTATTAGCATAATAGTATTTGAGTCTTCAAACAACATGTAAAGCTAAGCCTTTAGTTTGTTACACTGTCCTTTATGAAGATGTTCTAGGAGAGGCGAATCGATCTTCCAAGCTATGTGATAAAATGTCTGAGACCAGAATACCTAGTTGGCTGAAATGGTGGGATGGGGTGAAGTGAGAATATGAAAGATGTCAAAGCAGTTGGAGTTCTTAAGGGAAGAGAGTTTTTCGTACTATCCTGATCTCTAAGGACGGGGAGAGGAATCTGTATGGGAAGTTGACTGTTTCTTTTTAATCCTTGCTTTACATCCAGCATTGAAAGGATGGACCCCTATCTCCTGTTCAAGTTGAAGTGTGGGTAGTTTTGAGTCTCCTCACAATTACTTCCTGGGACTTTGAAAATGATTCAGGATAGAAGACTCCCAAGAGATCAGATTGAGGTGACAGTAGGCTCATTGAGAATCACAGGTCAAGACATTTTGAGGAATGCGGGCTGGTGGAGCTTGGCTACACCGGTCAGAGATGTCCTTCTGTATAGGCAGTCGCCTCTGGTTTGATTCAACAGGGTTTCCCAAGCTTCCCTCATGATAATGATCACCTGATGTATTCACTAAAAACAAACATTCCAGGCCCACTGATTCAGACTCTTCAGGCAAGGGCCTGATGATTCTACCATCAGAGAAATTTGGAAAACACAGATTCAGAGGTTCTGCGGGAAGGCCTTTTATAGCAGATAGCTTTTTGGATGTCCATTCAGCCACCAATACAATACAATACAATTCCCTACCCCTAGGTTGGACCTTAGTATTCATGATTCGGCTTTGTCATACCCATGTCCCTGGCTGCAAAGGAAGCCAGGCTGTGCCAATCAGATTTTCTCTTTGTAAATTAAAAATGGTATTTAGAGGTAGCCAGTCTGTCTCTAGAATTGCAGTATGGAATCTCAAGAGCATGGGGCAGCTATATTCTGCCATGTGGATGAAGAAGCTGTTAAGATGGTATACAGGAAGACAGAAGAATGAAACACAGATGCCCTCTTGACTTGCTTTCAATAACATCTCTACTAAAACATTCTAATATAAAAAAATCATCTGCATGTAACTAAAGCCTCTACCTTGAACATCAAGTGAAGTTAATGGGTCTTCTATTTTATTTTATTTTTTAAATTAATTATTAAAAAAATTTTGCATTTTATTTTATTTATTTTTTATACAGCAGGTTCTTATTAGCCATCAGTTTTATACACATCAGTGTATAC